ATATATATATATATATATATATATATATTTACACTGAATAAAAAATAAACGTTACTAATTCTCAACAATCATATGTTGGGACCGAGGTATAGAGGGCCAGGGTGTCACGTGACTCCTTGGGTTTTGGATTTTTTTTTTTTTAACAAACTTAAAGAAAATATTTTAAATAAAACAAATTATAGAAATATTTTTTAGAGTGAAATGTTTATGAGAACAATAATGGTTGTTTTGTTTGAAAATTTCAATGTAACGTGATGTCTATCATTATTGACATGCAAGCATAATTAATCTCACTATAAAAATATAAAATTTATTGAATTGTTTGTTACATTTGACATGTAGAGTTCACTCTCCATGTGTTTCTTTATTATTGGTTGATGATATCACATGTCAATAATGATGTGGTATTATCATTATAGAAAAATGTTTGGTGGCCTGAATTTCTGTGGCTCGAATGACTTGAATGTGTCATAACGACATCGTTTTACACTCAAAATAACGTCATTTTGCACCCAAAACGACGTCATTTTATATCCAAAACGACGTCATTTTAGATGTTTCGAGTCATGTTTTTTTCGGACCACCTAGCATTGTTGATCATTATATTGAATTTTTACTCTAATTTTGAATAAAAAAATTATTTTGTATTATATAATTTATTTTAGGACTTTTATCCATTTTTTTTTTTTGTATTGTCCATGATATACTAGTTACAAATAACATTATTTTTTTGATCTTTCTCAAAGTCAATCATAAAAATTTATGGGAAATATTTTTGTAAAAAATTTCAATGTTATAACTAATAAGTGTCCCCTATTAATTTCCTGACTTCACCATTGATCACATGTGTATGACTAGGGTGGTAAAACAACTCAAACTAATCGAACTTATCTCGTATTTATCTCTTTTTAACTTTGTATAGTAAGAGAGATTCAATATATTTTTTTTTATTAGTTAAGATCTCTCAATCAAATCAAATCAAACACAGAGATCAAGAAAAATAAAAACTAAAGAACAATGAGAAATCGCATACCTGAGAAGGACTCTCGGTTTTGGGTGTGTGTGACCGAGAATAATGGCGAGAGTTGAGGAAATGACGAATAAGGAGGAAAAGTGTAGAGTGAGAATTGGAGAGGGAGAGATGAATCCTTGATTAAGCTGGTGCTTTTTTGTAGACTTTGTCCAGAATTTTTCTGAATGTCAGAAATTTTTCTGTGAAGAATTGAAATTTCTTGGCGAAAATATTGAAGGTTCCAAACTATTATAAAAATATTATATAGAAAATTTTTCTTTGAAGAATTGAAATTTCTTGGTGAAAATATTGAAAAATCCCAACTATTATAAAAATATTACATATATTTTATCTTATAAAATCTTAATATCAGGAACCTTAAACTAAAATCCTTATAATGACTTACTTTTTTTTTATTATTATCCCCACATGTAAATGCAATCATAAGTCATCATCACATAGTGATTTATTAAGACAACTGTAATTCACAGCCAATCCAAGATAACAAAGTTAGGAGGGGTTTAATTTAATGTTTTAATTCAGAGAGCAAGAGAAGTAATAAGGTGATCATAGCATCACATTTTCATGGAAATCCTTCAATATTATTTATATATTCGACAAATTAGAAAAGCAAAGTACAATCTGGAAAAATATTAACATAACAAAACAACTCGGCAAAATCTAAGATCTAAAAGACACATCGTAATTTACCGCGCCATTTCAAAGCCATAGAATCATCGAAATGACGTTGGGCAAGTGCCATTTGGGGTTCATGGGTCATTTTCCTAGCCCAATCAAAAATATAGAAGCTTTGTGGAGTATTCATGAATCCAGCTTTGTTTCAAGAGATGGAATTTGAGATAAAATAATTTTTAGATAAATAAGATTTTCAAAATTTCTTCATTTTTAAAATATATATATATATATATATATATATATTTACACTGAATAAAAAATAAACGTTACTAATTCTCAACAATCATATGTTGGGACCGAGGTATAGAGGGCCAGGGTGTCACGTGACTCCTTGGGTTTTGGATTTTTTTTTTTTTAACAAACTTAAAGAAAATATTTTAAATAAAACAAATTACAGAAATATCGTTTAGAGTGAAATGTTTATGAGAACAATAATGGTTGTTTTGTTTGAAAATTTCAATGTAACGTGATGTCTATCATTATTGACATGCAAGCATAATTAATCTCACTATAAAAATATAAAATTTATTGAATTGTTTGTTACATTTGACATGTAGAGTTCACTCTCCATGTGTTTCTTTATTATTGGTTGATGATATCACATGTCAATAATGATGTGGTATTATCATTATAGAAAAATGTTTGGTGGCCTGAATTTCTGTGGCTCGAATGACTTGAATGTGTCATAACGACATCGTTTTACACTCAAAATAACGTCATTTTGCACCCAAAACGACGTCATTTTATATCCAAAACGACGTCATTTTAGATGTTTCGAGTCATGTTTTTTTCGGACCACCTAGCATTGTTGATCATTATATTGAATTTTTACTGAAATTTTGAACAAAAAAATTATTTTGTATTATATAATTTATTTTAGGACTTTTATCCATTTTTTTTTTTTGTATTGTCCATGATATACTAGTTACAAATAACATTATTTTTTTGATCTTTCTCAAAGTCAATCATAAAAATTTATGGGAAATATTTTTGTAAAAAATTTCAATGTTATAACTAATAAGTGTCCCCTATTAATTTCCTGACTTCACCATTGATCACATGTGTATGACTAGGGTGGTAAAACAACTCAAACTAATCGAACTTATCTCGTATTTATCTCTTTTTAACTTTGTATAGTAAGAGAGATTCAATATATTTTTTTTTATTAGTTAAGATCTCTCAATCAAATCAAATCAAACACAGAGATCAAGAAAAATAAAAACTAAAGAACAATGAGAAATCGCATACCTGAGAAGGACTCTCGGTTTTGGGTGTGTGTGACCGAGAATAATGGCGAGAGTTGAGGAAATGACGAATAAGGAGGAAAAGTGTAGAGTGAGAATTGGAGAGGGAGAGATGAATCCTTGATTAAGCTGGTGCTTTTTTGTAGACTTTGTCCAGAATTTTTCTGAATGTCAGAAATTTTTCTGTGAAGAATTGAAATTTCTTGGCGAAAATATTGAAGGTTCCAAACTATTATAAAAATATTATATAGAAAATTTTTCTTTGAAGAATTGAAATTTCTTGGTGAAAATATTGAAAAATCCCAACTATTATAAAAATATTACATATATTTTATCTTACAAAATCTTAATATCAGGAACCTTAAACTAAAATCCTTATAATGACTTACTTTTTTTTTATTATTATCCCCACATGTAAATGCAATCATAAGTCATCATCACATAGTGATTTATTAAGAGAACTGTAATTCACAGCCAATCCAAGATAACAAAGTTAGGAGGGGTTTAATTTAATGTTTTAATTCAGAGAGCAAGAGAAGTAATAAGGTGATCATAGCATCACATTTTCATGGAAATCCTTCAATATTATTTATATATTCGACAAATTAGAAAAGTAGAGTACAATCTGGAAAAACATTAACATAACAAAACAACTCGGCAAAATATATGATCTAAAAGACACATAGTAATTTTTAACGGTTTTATGATATCATCCTTCCTTCCTTCTGTGCCTGTAACCTTTGTTTGTCTCAAGTACGCTGCAACAAAATCAAAAACAAGAAGACAACAACTAAACAAATACTATCTTCAACCATAATCTCAAAAATAGGGTAAAAAATAAAAATAGAGCCAAAATCATTACCATAACATAAGAAGACACCAAAACAACCGTCTCTATGTCGTCCTTTGAAAACGAGCCACATTAACTGCAATGACCACAAAGAGACGATCTTTCACTTCATCTAGGTATCGAAAAGAAGCATGTCTCCAAGACCTTTTTAGTACCAAAGTGCCACAAACAACCCAAAATCCTACAATGAATCCAACTACTGTGCTAAGATAGAACCACAACTCATCATGCTCGTCTTCCTTATTGTCCACCTTTTTTTTGCCATCTTTGTCTTTTGCATCAACATCAGTTGAAATGGAACACTTGGTTGACAATGGGAGCCCACAAAGTTCCGGATTACCTTCATAAATGGATGGATCATTGAAAGTCTGGAACTGATTGGTTGAAGGAATTGACCCGGAAAGGTTGTTGTATGACAAGTTCAAATGGCTCAGTGATGTTAAAGAAGACATGGTTGAAGGAATTGAACCGGATAGGTGGTTGCTCGAAAGGTCTAGCGTTTCTAACCATCGCAATTCTCCAATTTTCTTTGGTATCTTTCCTGTCAATTGGTTTCTTGATAAATTCAAGGTACCCAAGTCTGATAGATTTGTTATCTCTTCTGGGATTTCCCCAGATAGATTATTGCTCGAAAGGTCTATAACATTAACGAGCTCAAGCGTGAGGGTATACCCAAATTGTCTTCCTTTCACAACCAAATCCATTTGATAAATATAAAAGAACCGATATGCAAATGGAATATTGACAGAGGTGAAACGATTAAAGCCACTCAAATTTCCCAAACAGTGAGGTATAGATCCTGTAAAATAGTTATGAGCAAGGTCTAAGATGTGGAGATCAGATAAATGACAGCTGTTGAGGTATATCTCCGGTGAACAAGTTGGCTCGCATTCGGATCTTGGAAAGCGACGAAAGATTTTCTCCCAGCCATCCTGGTATGTTCCCAGAAAATTTGTTATCTCCAAGATCAAGAGTCTGCAAATTCCTGCAATTCTTCAACCAAGAGAGTTCGCCAGAAAGATTGTTACCACTCAACCTCAACCAATAAAGAAATGGTAGTGAGCACATTGATTCAGGAATATGGCCAGAGAGATTGTTTTGGGACAGATCTATGCCACCAAGAGCATACATGTCCCCCAAATGGATGGGAATTTGTCCAGATAGATGATTATCCGAAAGATAGAGGCCTTGCAAAACTTTCAATTTACATATGGACAAAGGAATGGTACCATCTAGAGAGTTCCCAGAAAGATCAAGAATGACCAACGATGACATGACACTGCCAATATTCAAAGGAATTGCTCCTGAAAATAAATTGTTGTTCAGAAAGAGAAACATTACGTTAGGCCAGAGTGGGATTGTGCCTTCCAGGCGATTGAATCTCAAGTCCACAAAGGAAATTCCTAATGAGTTGGGAACAACACCGACAATTTCGTTGTGAGATAAATCGAGCTTGTCAATCTGCATTGACAATTTCCAAAACCAGTCAGGTATTGTATCTGAAATGGAGACATTTGTGAGGACAATGGATAAAAGTTCTTTCTGATTTCTCAGCCATGTTGGAAATTTTGGACCCAACAGATAGTTACTGATTTGGATAGCTAACAGGCTAAATGGAGGAACCCATTCATGTGTCACATCAAAAATGCAAGTTGTGTCGGAAGATACGGAGAAAACTCGTAGTTTTGCAAGACCCTGTAAATGGTTTTGGGACAAGAGGCCTTTCCAAGAATTATGGAAGAGTTGCAATTTAGTCAACTCTGTGAGTCTTCCTAAACTTGTAGGGATAGACCCATTCATCTCATTAAAAGAAAGGTCCAATTCCTTTAGAAAAGACAACCTTCCAACAGATTCTGGAATTGGACCTGAGATCAGATTCTCATTCAGTACAAGGGATCTCAAATAGTTCAAGTGTCCCAATGAATCGGGCAACTTTCCATTAAATTTGTTGGACCCCAATATCAACTCCTTCAAGCTACTGTTACAACACCCAGACAATCCCTCTAAAAGTTCACGTATGTCACTACTAATAGAGTTAGAAGATAAATCTAGTGATTGCAAGTTATGATAGCTTCCCAAAGCAGCACTGACAATGGAACCCGTAAAATTGGTTAAACTGACATTGAATTCCACAAGAGTACTAATATTGAAAGGCCATAGAGGTAAGGAAGAGTTAGACTCGTTAGAAGAGAGATCGAGGACCAAGAGGGAAGTAAAATTTATTTTCTGTATAGATTTTTGAAAATTGGAGAGTTGACAATCAAACAAGTGTAACTCAGACAAAGAGGGCATGGTATTAACTGAAAGCAACCAATCTGTTGCTTCACTCAGGTTCACACCACCAAGATTAAGATACTTCAAAGAAGATAGGCCAACAAGCCAGTTTAAATCCGATGCCCAAATATTGTAGTAAAAAACAAATGCAGAGAGGTCAAGATATTGCAAGTTTGACAGATTTCCAAGATGAGGTGGAACCATTCCACCGAAATTTGATTGAGAAAGTCTGAGATAACTCAATTTCTCAAGTGAACCGATGAAATTTGGGATTGTGATTCCCTGGAAATCATTCATGCTTAGATCCAAGTAACTTAAATATTTTAAGTTGAGCAAAGAAGGACTTATCTCACCTCCCAAACACGATGAGGAGTTATTGTCCGCAAGTCCTTCGAACAAACTGCAATATTCTCCTCCATGGTTTCTGAGGTCAATCTTGAAAATGTTGCCAGTGTGTTTGTTGCAGCTCACACCCTTCCATCGACAGCAATCTTTGCCAACCCAAGAAGAAAGCCGACCAGAAGGATCTGTGAGTCCTCCTTTGAATTTAAGAAGGGCTTTCCTCTCAAATTCAATGCAATGCGTGGTTAAATTACCATCATTGGAATTGAATCTACTGGTTTCAAGAGAAACAAATTGAGAAAGCAATGAAAGAAAAAGAAAAACAGTAAGATTAAAGGTGGTAGTATATATACTCTGACTAGTCATCTTTGCTTCAAATTAAGCACTGCCAAAATACAACATCAATACTTGGTAAACATATGAATTTCTGAAGATACATTTATATGTATTGATAGACAGTCCAAGCAATTATACTAGTTGTATGGCCCACATTCGGGAAGCACACCAGCTAAGAGAGAGTGAGAGTCAGTAAGACTTTCCTTACGGTAAAAAATGGGGAGCAATGCTACATCTAGTTAAACTCTTACTAACAATCTTACTGAAAACATACATGTTCAAATATAATTGGACAGTTAAATGACATTGTTTTTTTGACAACTAATCACATTTAGCTTATTGTATTTTTTGTAAATTTATTCAAAAATGGGTGGTCTTAGTTGTACTACTTTTTTTTTTTTTTTTGTGGTAAATAAAGAAAAGGGTGGCTCAGGCTTAGGTAAGCCCCATCCCCGGGCTAAGAAATGGCTTGACGCAAAATTTAAGGCCTTTTTCAATGAGGGACAATGGGCTTAGTTGTAGTACTTCTTGCTTGTACCAAAGGAAGGGTCACACTATGGAGATGCTTAGCTAATTAGAGCTACTTCTGAGCAGCAGGTACTTTACCGTGCCATTTTGAAGCTGATAGAATCATCGAATCTACGTTGGGCAAGTGCCATTTGGGGTATTCATGAATCCAGCTTTGTTTCAAGAGAAGGAATTTGTGATAAAATAATTTTTTGGTCAATAAGATTATCAAAATTTCTTCAAATTTTTTTTAAATATATGTTACTCTTCTGTCTTCTATAGGCAAGCAATCAAACAAATGAGGCAAAATGATTTCCCTCATATTTTATAATCCTTTTCCTCACCAAATCCAGCAAATTATTATTATTATATACATATATTTTTCACACGGAATAAGAAATAAACATTACTAATTCTCAACAATCATACATATATGACTAGGGGAGAAATATTTGTGAAAACTTAGGTGATTTGTGAGAATTTACACAAATATATATGGTAGGACATGGGGACACTGCTTGTGTCTCAATTTGAGGTGTATTATGGGTTTATTTTTATGATCAAAACTGTCATTTTGTAGGGTTTGTTAAGTACTTCATGCCTACCAAAAATCATATTAATCGGATATCAATAACTATATGATTGATAACAAAAAAAAAATATAGTTTTTTTTTTGAGAAATAGCACAAAAAATATGCAATTCGATCCTAAGAATGATGGTGAGAGTTGAGGAAATGACGAGAGACAAGGAAAAGTGTGTAGAGTGAGAATTGGAGACGAAAGAGAAGGAAAAGTGTGTAGAGTTCCCTTGATTACGCTAGTGTATTTTGTGGACTTGTCCAGAATTTCTCTGAATGCTGAAAATTTCTTTGCGAAGAGAAATAAAGAGAAAGTTTTTTGTTAAAATATTAAAAGATCCTAACTTTTATAAAAATATTACATATATTTTAATATCAGTAGGGACCTTAAACTAAAACCCTTGCAAGGGACTGCCTGCCTTGGGTGGTGGGCAATGGAAACTCTATTGATTCGTTTAAAGTCATTGGATTCCTACGATATCCATTCCGTTTTGTGGAAGGCAGAATTTCCAGGTCTCCCACCGCCTTATCAAGACTTTATATGTTGGCTGTTCATATTCCCCAAATCCCCTCACCTGGCAAGTGTGTTTGGGATCACTCTCCGTGTTAAAGATAATATGTTAAATATATACAATGTATAGAATAGATTAATGGATAGGTTAGGTGTTGTGAATGCTCTCCCTTTATTGCTTTCGGCCACTTTCCCTCTCTCAAGCCATGATGATGTTTGTATTCCATGATGATGTTTGCATTAGCTCCTATATAACGGAGAACATATGCATTGATGAATATATAGAATTGCACAGATACTTCACACTCTCTCAAATTCTATCCCTCTCTAAACTCATTTTACACCCCGACTGGAGCATACTCGGTTAAATCTGGATGTTTAATGTTAGACCTGGAGTTGTTAGAATAGAAAATCAAGATTCTTTGTTTGGAAAAAACTTTAAGGTAGCGTTTGGTAGAGTTTTGAAAATATGATTTGATAATAGAGTTATATTTTGAGTTTGTGAGTTTTGGAATTATGATTTGAGTGTAGAAAATTTGTTTAGTTCTGAGTTTTGAAAAGAGTTTTAAATTGAGTTTAGAGTTGAGTATTGAATTGAGTTTTGAATGTTTGATGTGGCATGTGAAATAAGAAAATTTGTTTTGTTATGAATTTTGAAAAAAGTTTTTAAAACTTAATTCAAAAAGTTATAAATCATAACCAAATACACAACTCAAAACTCTATTGAAAATTCTGTTCAAAACTCATAACCAAATTCTTTTTAAAATTTAATTCAAAAAAATAATTATTAAAAAAAATGTCATAATTTTTTTTTTAATTGAAAATAATTGAAAATATTACAAACAAAATAAAAAAAATTCAAAATAAATATTCAATTACTGTTTTAAAATAATTTTTGATTGTATATTTGGTTGGAATTATTTTTTTAAATATTTTTGATTTAAATATTAAAAAATATATTGTTTTTGTTAAAAAAAATCAAAAACAAAATTCTCATTTTTTTTTTTTCCCAAATAACAGGTGCCAATTTTTTTTTAAAAAAAAAAAATCACTGTTCTGGTCAATTGGCCGGACATCCGAGAGGATGACTGGGTAGACCCAAGTTGCGCTTTTCAAAATTCAAAAAAAACTCTCATCTCTAAATAAAAACTGGAATGAGTTTTGGAATGTTATATTAGAATTAATTTTAAAAAACTTTAACCAAACAAAGCATTGAAAACAGCTCTGGAATCATATTTCTAGAGCTACTCAATTTTCCTCTATCCCCTAACATTGTGTTTCATTGGACAATTTTAGAAGGGATTTAGAAAGAAAAAAGGGAAAAAAATAGGTGAAATGTGAATAAAATATATCTATGTTTCACTTAGTTTCACATATTTTTTCCCTTTTTCCTTCCCAAATTCTCCAACCAAACATAGCGATAATGGATCCTTTTTTTATTTGGAAAATGCTCCATAATATATTATCGTTTAAAGTTGTATTGGGTCGTAGCGGCAAAGCCAATCCTAACCCAAGGCGAACAACACCTTTAGCCCCAAATTTTGACAAATTTTAAGGGTTCCGGATAATTTTAACTCTTATAATATTAGTTGGTTTAAAAATAAAGGTTCAAACTAACTCATGCAACTTCACAATCTAAATAAAAGGTTTTTAGAGCATTTTTAACTCTTCATTTTGTTTTCGATTTAATTTAATTATAGATTTAGTTCAAAAAAATTTAATAATTTAATTATAGATTTGAGTAAAAAACTCGATTTGATATGAATTACTTTAACTCTTTCATTAAATTTTCATGAAAATCTTTCTAAAAATTCTCTTCATATCCCAAAAAAAAAAATTCATCAAATTCGATGGGAAATTTTTTTATATCTTCAATATCTTTTTAAATTTTTATCAAATTCAAAATTGATGAATTCCAAATTTGATTTTTAAAAAAAGTCTCTCTTAAAGACCAAATTAAAAAAATATATTTATAAATCTTATTCATTATAGGTATGACTTGCATTATATTAACTTTGAATTTACATTATACACCTTTAGAGTAAAAAATTTAAATAAATATTTTTTTCTTATTTATATATGAAGGGCTCCAATTTTAAGATTCTGCCTTAGGTCTCGAAAATCTCAAGGCCGACCTTGCGTAGAGGTTTCCAATTGGATCAGATTTGTGCGAGATGTAATCTTGAGGAGGAGGAGACGATTGAACATTTTTGCTTTGAGTATCCTTTCTCAAAATTGGTTTGGCCAAGATCTGTTTTGGGATTTGATTTTAATACGAGTACCCCTTTATCCTTTAAAGATTGGTTTTCAGAGTGGGTTGGTTTAATTTGTTACCATCCTTTGTGCTATTTGGCTTAATCGAAATCAACTAACATTTAAACATTCTCAGCCTAATCCTCTCAAAACCCTCATTGCAATCTATTCAACACTTGAGTGCTTTGCACCTACAACGAAATTCGGTATTGAAGGAGTTGGATGACTCAATGTTTAACATGTAGACTTTCTTAATAATCCAAAGTCCTTTACTGTTACTAATGTTGGAACAATCTTCTGTGTACAATAAATAAATTGAAACTAAATCAACTAAATTAAATAAATTATGTACCGAATTTATTTTATCGAACCAAATGAATAATAAAAGATCAAGTCAAGTGTGTGACACTCTGTCCTTAAGACAGATTCGCCCTGTTACGATGCTTACGAACTAATGGCGTTTATCTCCCAGAATACAATGATCTTCACAAATTTGTAGCAACACTCCAAACAAATTTGTCTGGTGAACTAAAACCTTGTGTTCTATACTCTCTTTAATTTTCCTAAAAAATTAATATGAAGAATTTATGCAAACAGAGCAAGAAAATGAAGAGAACAGATTTTTTCTGGATGATTTTCAGACTGATTTCAGATTCCCAAACTGCTGGAATTAAACTGGTATTTATAGGCAAATTTGACAGCCCTGAACAAGTGTTGTTTGTCACTGAACAAGTGCAACATTGTTTCAACAGATACAGTTTTGAATACAAACAGATCTAGACACTATTGAATCTGTAAACTGCTGGCAGTTAAATCTATAAACTGCTGGCAGTTTTAGCAGTTAAAAAACCTGTTAGACAGTTGGAAATTAAGTGGAATTCGGAGGCATTTTGAACAAAAAATTTGAATTCAAATATATTTTCAAATTCAAATAATTTCCCGCAAGAATTTTGAAAAAAATTCAAAATAAATTTTGTCCAAAAAATTAATATTAAAACCGACTCGACCCACACCCGGACTGGCGACAACATGCACTCCTCCCTTCTACAAACTTGGGGTGCCCCTTGGGCCCCAACCCAAGTTAGTACACCAAGAGCTTATATACACACATAAGTTCTATTCAAGTTTCAATGTAGGACAAGCCTTACAAGAAAACCCACATTTAATTCTTTAAATATCAA